ATATTCGAGGGTCTTGACCCCTTAGGGGACCCCTTAAAATATTTTTTATTCAAAAAAAATTTAAACCTAGTGTTTTTGTATTAGATAGAACATATTTAGGGGATGAGAGCAGACTATTTTCAAAAATGTTGTTTTTTGGGACACCCTAATATACACTTCGAAAACAGGTTTGATTTTATTGGCTTCTCTGCATTAGACTCAAATTTGTGGTAAAAATCTATCTTTTGACTAAGTTGAATTCAGTCAATTCATCTTAGGATCTTAGTGCTGAGGCATATTATTTTTTTCAATAATCACCAATATTTTGCATGGTTTTAATAGACAAATAGGTGACTTGATACTTATTTATGTCACCTATTTGTCCTAAAATAAATTTGAATCTTCATATGTGAATTTTTTTTCTTCACACCTTCTCTTAACATCTTAGCATCTCTTCATGATTTTGACTAAGCTTTTTTTTATTATCCCTCATTCAATAATTTTTGGTGACTTATCAATGTACAATGTTCATCACACTGAATGGCTTGACTTTATTACCATTGACCTTGGTGGCTCTAAAGTTCAACATTATTGTCTTTCTTAATCTCTTAACCATAATCACTAAGTTCTTTTATTAAAAAAATTCTTAATCACACATTAATTAATGTTAATTTTCTTTTCTATTCTTTCACTTTAATGAAAATTTTTATTTACATTAAGGTTTAACAACAACAAACTGAAACCAACCACTATTAGATTTGGAAGTTACTAGAAAAGAAAACATGAAGTTTATAGAGCAACATAATGATTGACAGATCATTTAAAAGATTGCAAATTATATGAATCAGAAAAGCAAGATGAAGAAAGCGAATTCCAAAGAACTGATGAGGAAGAGAACGCAAAAGAACTAGATGAATAAGAGTTTTTGGAACACTTAGAAACAGTCACAGTAAAAGGATGAGATTTAATTAAATGACGAGTAACAGGAGAATAAATTTTAGTAGATGGCACATTAGACGCTAGCAGTTTAGAGCAGTGCCCATTATAGTATTTGTAGGAAAGAGAAAGAGAAGTAAAGTTACAAGGATGTGATAATGGTTGGAGGTTGGCTGCAAAAGCAGGTCCAAATATTTTTACAATGTGTTTTTTCATCTTGTCTAAAGGAGAAAAGGCATCATTAGATGATCTGTCCCAGATATGGCAACAGTTTTCCATACAAAGATGGATTTGAGATTTATAGAGATAAAGAATAGAATACGGAGTAAGAAAGTGTTGAGCACGATAAAAAGATGCAACCTTAGCAGAAGCTAATTTCGCAATAATTTTGATATATGGTTTTCAAGAAAGATCAGCAGTAAAACTTAATCCTAGAAGGCGGAGGGTAGATGACCTCATCGAGTACATTACTGTTCATAAATATAGAAAGATCTAAATTATTGCAATAACGATCGGCTGAAAAAATTTATGTTTTATCTGAATTAAAATTCACCAGCCACTGTGAGCCCCATGCTGTAGCAGAAGTGAGATCCTTTTCAAGTTTATATGCCCCATCCAAGCAATCAGAGAGTGTTGGCTTCTTATAAGGGCAAGAATAAATAATAGTATCATCAGCAAACAATGCTACCTTAGATATGAGAATATCTAGAAGATCGTTAATGTATATTAAAAAGAGTATAGGGCCGAGGATAAAACCTTAAGGAACCTTTGAAGTTACAAGAAATAAAGAAGAGTGCTGTCCATCAAAGACAGCTTTAATACTACAATTGGTAAGGAAGGATTCAATAATCTTAAAGACGTTCCCTGATACACCTTATGAAGAAAGCTTATGGATTAGGCCAGCATGCCAAACTTTGTTAAAAGCTTTAGAAATGTTAAAAGCGATAGCCTTAACCTCTCTGCATCTATTTAATATATGATAGCACCTATTGGTTTTTACTGTTAGCAAATCAGCTGTAGAGCAAGAATGTTGAAATCCTTATTGATGGTTATAAAGTAAGTTATTAGATTTAATATGAGAGATTAAGCGTTAATTAAAGACTCAAAAACCTTGCTTATGATAATAACAAGACTAATGGTACCATCCCATTAGTCTTGTTATTATCATAAGCAAGGTTTTTGAGTTAAGACAATAAGCAAGGTTAGACGAGTCAGATCTCTTTCCAGAATTTTTGAAAATAAGAATAACAGATGCTGCTTTCCAGCAGACTGGAAAACAAGACTCTGATAAGCACCTGTTAAATAGTTATGAAAGTATAGACGTCAGCTCCGGAGAACTCTTCTGCAAGACTATACAGGTATGTTGTCTGGACCATAAGCTGTAGAAAAGTCCAAGCAAGAAATCACTTTAGATACAGAAGCTGGATTAATACAAATGTCAAGCAATGAATAAATATGTTTGTCTGCAATACCAGGTAGAACGCAACTAGTGGGATCAAGAGATGATATTGATGAAAAGCTTTTAGCAAGTAATTCAGCATTGTTTTTAGATGAGGAGGCAAAGTCTGAACCATACAAGAGAGGTGGAACAACTGATTTGCTGATTTTATAAATAGAGTCCCAGTCAGCTTTAAGGTAGTTGTAAGAGGTACGATGATAGGGGGATTCTGATGATGAAGAAGAATGAGATAATTTTAAAGATTGGAAGCTCCTAAGGGTGACTGCGGAGAACCTGAGCACTGACTAGTATTTGAAACTAGACATAGAGTAGAAAAGGTAAATAGTTCGAATTGTCTGGAAAATGAGTTGGAAAGTTGACTGTTTGAGTTAGAGATTAAGAAAGACAAAAATTGTGGGCCTTAATGCCTGCAGAGTTAGTGGCACTAGAGCTAAGCCATTCAGTGTGACATTAAAAAAAGTGCAACCTTGAGGATGAAGAAGAGAGCGTTATAGAACAAAGATAAAGGCAATAGAGTAAAGCGTTGCTTAATAAATGCACATAAAAAAATAGTCTGTGGATTTAAACCTAGTTTATCGTCAAATGGGAGAATACTTACAAAATTAAATGCCTTGAACAAGCATGTGATTATTGTAGTCTTTATGAGTTAAATGAAGATAACTGTCAACATTTTTTTTTTTTTGTTATTTACCTCCTCAAGGCCGAGAAGGCCACTACAGACCAGGAGGCTACTTAATAGTGGTTATAACCCTCTCTCAACTCTATAACTCCAAAACACAAACCTTAACGAACAAGGCCGCTGCGCAGAGAAACAAGTTGAGCGCGGTACTACCAGAGATGTGGTGGGGATCAAACTCGGAACCTCTCGCTTATGAAGTGAGTGTTTTACCACTACCGCATAAACATTAAAGTCACAAGATGATATAGCTGAACTCAAATTAGACTCACAAAGAGAAAGTAAGTTTGGTAAATTTTACAAAAGGAAAGACTCATTAAAAGCAAATGTACTTCGAAGACCACAAATATTAGCGAATGATAGATTTAGAAAACTTGGTGATGACGATGGTTTTTTGAGTTTTATAGTTTTTGGTACTTTATTCAAAGCACAGATAGTACTCAGTACACTATTTATTAGTCTAAGCAATGCCTCATTACTATTAATTAAATTAATAAGCAATGCCTCATTACTATTGATAAAAAGCAATTGCCTTATTACTAATAATAAACCCCAAGCCATATCAATGGGGTTTAAATGTGTCCCTGAAAATCCACATTACAAGTACAAAAAGGGACACCATCCAAGTGAGTCAAGAAGATCCAAAATTCAACATCTTAAACTGGAAACAATGTATTATAAATTCATCTGTGTCAGCCTAATAGATGAAGAAAGGGTGCGTGTAAAAATGCACTCTTTTTTTTTTATTAGTAAAAACCCTGTAAAGGTTATAGAGCACCTAAAAATTATTTTTATAAATTTTTTTTAAATCCATTGTTATTTTATTATTTAGAATACATTTAGAACTATTACAAAGCATTTTTTTTTAATTGCTGTTTTAACAGTTATATAAGGTATAAATAAATGTTTTTTTCAAAAGTTAAACACAACTAGGTCTTTAGAACCTGGAAAGCTAGCAGCTAAACTCAAAACATCATTGATAAAATCAAAATTTTTACCTAAGAACATATTTTTCCCCATTTTATATAAACTCTATAATAAGCCCGAGAAGAAAGGCAGTATTCTCACAACAATCAAAATCCTGGTACATACAAAATAAATGAACACCGTACACAGATCTAGAAGATTAAGAGTTGACAACTTCAAAATGGAATTTCATATACTTTATACCTTCATCCCCAGCAAAAAAGAGCTATACCTCTTGCCAAAATGAACATCAGAGTTGAGATGTCTTGATTTTAAAGATTGTTAAAAATTTCTCAATGTAAATTGTTCAATTCTTAACCATTAATAAAAAGACTGAACAACAGAGACTGGAAACAAGGTGCTTTCTTCCCAGATGGATAAAGAAACATGGAATTCACAGTAACATGTTGCTGTATCCATCTGGGATAAAGCAATATGTTACTGTGAAGTTACTTTATCCCTTTCTGAAATGAATTGTCTGGATTTCTTGTACTTTTCAGATAATATTACACAATCATATATTTATTAACAGTTTTTATTTTTGTTTTGTCCTTTTAAATATTTATTTAGCAATAAAGATTTTGTATCTATTATATCTTTTTTTTTTTTTAAATTTAAAAAAAATTAAAAGATTTATAAAAAATAAAGTACTACTATTTTCATTTTTTTATGAAATAGTTTTTTTTATGGAATAAGCTTGTGATTCCATGGCCTATTTTACATTGTTTAAAACATAGATTTATGAAACATCCATGTTTACATTTTATATATTATAAGCATATATTACATGAAACATTAATATAGGTAAATCAAGCCCTCTAAATTATTCAGTAAGTTGGTCTAAATTATAAAGTTTGTTATTACTGGAAATATTGTTTTTTATTTTTTTGTAAAAAATGAAGATCGGCATACTCAAATATGTTACCCAATAATGTATTAAACACCATTGTATCACCCATTAATGTACAAAACATTTGGTTTTAGGTATCCATTTTTGAGCAAGTTTGTGACTTTCAATTCCAGAATTCGTACTGCTTTGAAAAAAATTCTCTTGCTTCCTTTTTTCTATTGGTTAATGATGTTTTTAACTTTTCTTAATGCATTGATATTGGTTGTTCAACATTATAAACAACCTCAATGGGTTACTGATATAAAAGGTACATTCATTCAGTAAGATTCAAAACAGTTCTTTTAAACTTTTTTGTGTATTTTTAAAAATATTAGTTTTTTATTTTTAAATATTATCAACATTTTAATAGCTTAGTTTAATTTTTAAATATCTGTAAAGATAAATATTTAGATAATTGATATATTAGGTTTTTTTTATAGTTTATTAGGGTATAACCTCAATAATAATTAAAATGTACCAATAGAATAATTTTAGATCATATTAATTTTTAAAATAACTACTTGAATACAAAGAGTACTTAATTACAATGACCTGCATTGGTCTGTACTGTTATTTTTATTAAAAGAAAAAATAAACAATTTACACTCAATAAAATAAAAATCACTGATGTAATTATTGTGAAGAATTTGTTTTCTAAAAATAAACAGCATCATTCATTTGCCCCAACTACAATTATAGCAGGTTATATGCTTTGTAATATTTATAGACAAAGTCACATGGAACTGCAGTAATAATAATTTGTTTCATAAATAAAAAGTGTTAAAATGGCATAAAATGTTTTTATACACATTTCACGCAGCAGAAAAAATCTCAAGTCTGCAATTTGTGTACATTTTACTAGAATTGTAGGCTATCGGTACTGCATGTTGTATTGTTACTGGTCATTGTACGAATATTATACTGTTTTTATGCACTGTAATGTAATCTACTAATATAATCTGGAAATAACTTATCTAGAATTTGTCTTTCTAGGTGGCTTAATAAAGTGTTTATCTCCAAAACAAATCAGTTAACTTTTAATTAAATCTCAATGTCAATGTCAAATATGTTCCTGTTTGTGTTGATTTATCATTAAAACAAAACACAATGTTGAATGTGAAGATAGAATTCTTTTAATACCTTATTTATTTTTAAAGTTTTTTAATTAAAATAAGAAAATTTAAAAATATCTTCATTTTTAATGCTTATTTTAAAGTTTTTCAAGTTTTGGTTTTATAAGTTATTTTCTAGCAAATGAACATGTTAAGGTGAAAGGTTCATTTATTGTTACTATTTTTTTAAATGTTATTGTTTTTTGATTTTGATGAGAAAGTAGGATTTATTTATTATTCTTTTCCTCACTTTTATTGTTTAGGACTAGTTCATTTTGCATTTTGTGAAATATTATAGATAAAATTTATAATATTTTGTGTATGTTATGTTATTTAACAAATAATTTTAGTATTTTTTATATTTTTGCTACTAAAAGTTAGGCATTCATGACAACATCAGGGTTTATTGAAAACTCTGCTGTGTATTTGTTTATTTTTTGATAAGGTGTATTACTTTCTGATCTCTTGGATTTATTTATGCTAAAAGTACCTACTATGGTTTTAATTGTTTGCAAACGATTTTTATTAGTATTTTTTGTTTGCATGCTCATCTGAGTTGTTTAGTTTAATTTTGCTGTTTCTATTGGAGTTATTATTTACTGTGTTTTCATTTGGTTTAGTTATTTTTATTTATATTATATATATTAAATCATACAGTGGATCATGCTAAAAACTTTTATTCATCTAGTTTTTTTCCCTCGCACTTCACTCCTTTGGAACTCTCTCCCATCTTCATGTTTTTCTGATTCATACAACCTTTAACTTTGTCAACTGTCAACAGTTTCCTTGCTCTTTTTTTTTTCTTTTTCCCAACTTAATAGTAATTGCTTGCAGCCTTTGGATGGAATCAGAATTAAAAAAAAAAGATCTACTTTTTCAATATCATTTCATCAAAAAATATTGGTGCCTTATCTAATTTGAGTGTATTTGGTTTTTCGCTAATTCATACTGCATTATGATAGGTGTAAGTGGCAGGGTAAAGCATATGCGGCAATGATGTTTAATATCACCACTTATGTTTTACTCTGCAACAGTATAAACAAGTTATTAGTGCTGATCCTCTTTGAAATGTGTTAGAATAAGAGGAGAAGTTTATGACTTAACAAGTTTATATCATAGTTATATATTATAGTAGAAGTTATACATTGATGTTTTTTTCCATTCTTAGAACTTTTTTTATTGTATGTTTTCTTTAAATTTTGTAGTCAATGTTTTATTTTGTACATTTTTGTTTAGTAAACAATAGTTATTGTATTTAATTATATAATTTTTTTATATTGTAAGTATTGTTTGTGCGTTTTTTATTTTTTTTGTCATTCTATTTGTATAATTTTAAATTCTTTTCTATTATTCATTTTTTTTGTCTTGAAAACTGACTGAATAAGCTTTGTTAGAATGATTTTTCTTTGTTCTAGAGTACTTCATTTTCCCCCCAAGAGTTCACTTCTCTTTAAGCTCCTAAAAAGTTTTTAAATTTAAAAAAAAACTAAAAACTTTTTTGTAAAATTGCAAAAAGTTGCCTTGGAATGTTCATTGAAACGTTATTAATACAAAATAATTTGATTTTATTTTAGTTATACAATAGAAATAAAGAGTGTTGGCTTTAAAGATAACTTTTATAAAGCAGTTAGAAAAAAATGATTTGATAATAACAAAGTTTTCCCAGGTACACCATATGAAGCAAGCTTATGGAGAAGATCAGCATGTCAAACTTTATTAAAAGCTTTACATAATTAAATTTGTCAAACTTTGTCAAAAGCATTAACCTTTGCCATGTTGTCTCAATCTAATTTACAAAAGAATCTTTTAGTCTCATTATTTATAAAGTCAGCCGATGAGCGAGAATATTGAAAGTTATTAGATTAAAGATATTAGAACTTTGTTGATCAAAGTCTCAAAGACTTTTTTAATAATAGAAAGAAGATCAATTGATAGTTGGGGAGGGGGTGGTGTTGAAATGTTTTACGGAATTTTTAAAAATTTGAAATGCATATGCCATTTTTTAGTGCGCAGCAAAAAATAAGTTTACTTAAACACTTATTAAATAGTTAAGAGAGAATTGAAGAGAGTTCTGGAGAGCGCTTTTGTAAGACTATGACAGGAATGTTGCCTGGACCACAGTTTATAAAAAAGTTTAATTGAGATATGACTTTAGCAACAGAAACTGGAGTGATTTAAATATTTAACAATGGGTTAACCTGTTTAATTGGAATGGAAAGAAGAGAATAGCCATAAGATTAATTCAATTTAAAAAAAATTTCTTTGCTCCTTAAAAGAGGTAGTAAGATCCCATGAATGAGAGAATATATGTTAGACTTTTTAACAGCCCTGAAAATTTTTCCAAAAGTCTCTAGAGCCTAATTTCTGAGATAAGAGACGAAATTTAGTGAGCTGCAAATAATGGAGCTTAGCATCTGACAGCACATTTTTACATCAATTTCTTGCAATAATAAATAGCCATTTATTTTCAAGAGAGTTGCTCTTTTGAAAAAGATGAAAAAATGATTATGATTAGATATAGAAGCTGCACAAGAGGGTGAAAACCATGGAGTAGAATGAATCTTGACTTTGGTTGACGCATTTTTCAGCTGTGAAAGAAAAGAAATCAGCACAAGGACCGTCACAAAGAAAACAATGAAAAGAAATTAGTAAATAGTGCGATGATAGGGTGAGTCAGACAAAGAAGTACGAGACAAAAGATTTGTAGAATTCATTGCATAGTTGGAACCATATAGGGAAGCAAGGAGTAACTGAACACAAGCTAAGGTCAGAGGCAAGACATATATCAATGAGTGAAGGTAAACAATTAGGATTGTCTGTAAAATGAATCACAAAGTTGACTATCTGAGTAAGAAAGCGATTCAGTGCAATGAGCATTTAAGTCACTAATAACCACAATATTGGTAAAGGGATAAAGAGAAAGATCTTGGATTTAGTTTAATCAGAAATTACACCCTAAAGTCTTAATAAGAAGTAGAACAAAGAGTGCTAGTAGAGTACTAGAGGTGCTAATCGGAAACACACAAAAGAATGGTCAAACATTTCAAATCAGAATTCCTTAAAAGATAGATAAATTGATGCGTAAGTATACAGCCTAGCAATGCATATGACAGTTAGAGTCTTTGCAATCAAAGCATAATAGCCATTAATGAACCAAAATAGATGTGTAAGTATACAGCCTAGCAATGCATATGACAATTAGAGCCTTTGCAATCAAAGGATAATAGCCATTATTGAACTGAACTAAAGAATCCAAATTTAAATTAGTCTTATAATCAGTAAATTTTGATTGAGATAAAGTTCAACTGAAGGAAAGTAACTTTAAAGATCATGCATATTGGTTAAAGGTGTGTTGAAACAGTTAGGTGATGGTTTTTTTATGTTTAATATATTAAGTTACTTAGAGAATGGTTTATTTTAAAGACAACTTGACTCATTCATAGATAGAGCATGGCATCCAAAGCAATAAGCTATGCAGTTGTCTCAGTCCTGCTAACTAGCCCAAAGTCATATCTTCTGGGTTCTTATGTGGCCTCAACAGTGCACACTAAAAGCAGTTTAAGGGAACCATGGCACTATTAATGATCTAGTATTTTACAATTGTTGATGGAATCAGCATCAGTGTGTGCTACCACATAGTTCAGGAAACCTTACTACCAGCTTACTTAACTTACCAGCTGGCCTCAGAATCATTAACCTGAGTTTTATAGGTTTACAATCATTACGAGATAACAGGAGGAGTACATAGCCACCATCAAGGCGATACAAACAAAAATCTATGAGTAGAGTCAAATAGATCCAACACTCACCATCCTAGGCAGGAAATAATGTAGCAGAGGTTTACATCTATGTTGGCCTAATACATGAAGAATGAGTGCGAATCTGGTCAATCTATTTGTTATGCTTACTTCTAAAATCTTTGCCTAGGAGACTTACTACAAGACAGTTTTTGAATGCATTTGACATCTGCCTAAGATGTGTCTTTATTAAGACATCATATCTAGCCTTTACTCAACCAAAAGTAAAGAGTAAGCCACGCGGCATGAAAGTTTATAGTCTCTTAATACTGTAAACTTAAAATTATGTAAAAATATTGTTTATTAAAATAGAAAGTCTTTACCTATTATTGCTATAAATTGAAGTTCACAGTTTTATGATGACAAATCAAATAAATAGTTAAAATAGATACTCCTTGTTTTTTCGTTGTTTTTTTTTTTGCTTTTTTGACTTTGCGTTCTGCAGACGATGCTTTTGTTTAAAGTCTAGAATATTTTCTGCTTACTGAGTTACAGAGGATTTACTCTACTCCACAGATTAATAAGTTCACTGGATACTTTATTGATAAAGTCACTAGATACTTTTAAAAAACTCATTGAAAAATTATTTCTAACACTATTTATATTTTTTCACATAAAGCAGGAATATTGAACTTCTTGCCTTTAAATTGGACATTTATAAAGGATATTAAGGTTTATATACTTATCAAAATTAAGTAAATTGAACAGCAAAAAAATACTTTATAAAGTGTATATTAACTTCTGTATCAATCAAAAATTTAAACAAATTGTTTTTACATTTATTCTTTTAAAATAATAAGTTAAAATTTAAACAAAAATAAATTGTTTTTACATCTATTCTTTTAAAACTAATAAGTTAAAATTTAAACCAAAAATTAATGGTTTTTACATTAATTCTTTTAAAAATAAGTTATATGAAGTAGTTAGTGTTCAGTGTTCTTTATTAAAATTTTTTATCAAATAAATTTTTTATTATTATATATTTAAGAATGTATTAAAATTTAAAACTGTTGGTTCATAATTACATTTAATACCCAATATTATAATTGTTAATATTTTGAAAATTTAAATATAAAATGCATAGTTTTGTAAATTTTGTGTTTTTTTTTTTTTAACTTTGCTTTTGAGCTACTTGGTATTAAAACTTCAGAGACATTTTACATAAAGAAAGTGATTTCAATGCAAAGAATTTATTAACAGTACCAGCTTTTTGCAAAATTTTTACACTTGTCTTTAGTGAAAAATATAATTAAAGTCTGTAATACCATCATAAAAATCCTTGCAAACTTCACAAGTGTGAAACAACACATGTATAATGTTAAAACAAAAGAAACAAGTTTTAAATAAAATCATCACCTTTTAAAAGTTAAAATTGTTAATTGCATTTAAATGGCAAAATTAAAAAAAAAATGTTAAAAATTTTTGTTTATTGATAAAGTGTTTTAAACAAATTTTTTTAATTAATAAAGTGTTAAGAATAATATATTATTCTTCATACAACAATATATATTAATATGTAATAATATACTTAATTTTTGTTACAATATTGTTGGTGTTATGTTTACATGTTACCTTTACTTTTTTTTTTCTAAAAAAAATTGTTTAAAGAATTTTATGATTTTAATTTTAATGAAATTTTTTAGGTGTATCGCAATTAGTTTTTATGGTGTTTTTTTTGTTGGAAGTCATCTTAAAGTTGTACGCACTTGGTTTACAGTTGTATTTTGCTAAACTGTCTGATAAGTTTGAATTTGTGGTACATTTTTATTTTCCTGTTTTTTTGTTTTATTACCTTCATTGCTAGGTATTATTTTAAAATTGAGCATTATCATCCATTATGAAATAATATTTTAATTATTATTATTATTTATAGTAAATTGTCAAATATGTGTTTTTTTATTTAATTTAATTTAATATTAAATGCGTTTAATCATGTTATTTAAGTTGAAAATATAAAAATTGTTTATGTCATACATAACAAACAAACACAAACTTTCATACAATTACTTTTTATTTATTGTTCTCAAAAATTTATTTATGTTTTATATATATAAGCATATGTTGTAATGTAATGGAGATATATATAAGCATATGTTGTAATATAGTAGAGATATATTCTATTGAGCCTGTAAGTATACAACAGAAAAAAAGTCAATAGATGTTGTAATATCATATTTATATTAAAGTAAAACATAAAAAACTTATATAGTTCTTTTTAATTATGTAGGTATGTTATTTTATTGTAGTTAATCATATTTCAAGTCAGACAATTTACTGGTAATAATGTTTTATTACTGCACAAAATAGAGAAGTTGTTTATTTTTATCATCATGACCAAGTTCTCTATATCCATCATTCACTAATTTTAGTGGTCTTTGAAGTAACTTTTCTTCTATCGAGTCTTTTCTCTTGCCAAGTTTACCAGACCTACTTGCTCTTTTTGAGACTAATTTGAGTTCAGCTGTCTTATTTCAGTGTCTTTTGATTTTAGTGTTGATGGTTATCTTTCTTTAATTTGTAAAGGCTCCAATAATCATTCACAACTAGGCTTGGCCTAGGCATTTACATTTGAAAGAATTTTCCCATTTGTTGGTAAAGAATCCACATAGTATTTTTTTATGTTCTTTCGTATAGCACTATTTCACTCTGTCATCTTTCTTTTTGTTCTATATTTCACCCCTTCATCTCAAACTGCACTCTTTTTGATTTTATTTCTGATCAAATTTACCAAGCGTTTTCTATTTCAGCCAACATCATTTTTGTTGATGACTACTGCTCATCACACTGAATGGCTTGGTTCTAATGTCAGTGATTCTACAGGCGTTAAGGCGCACAACTTTTATCTTTCTCAATCTCTAACACTATTAGTCAACTTTCCAACTTGTTTTCCAGACAATCAAAATCATCTACTTTCTCTATTTAACTTGTTTCTTGTTTCTGATCCTAGTCAGTGCTCAATTTCTCTATATTCAATGGAAATTGAATCCCCCTATTATTGTACCTCTTACAATAATAGGGGGGAGGGGAGGTGTCCACCCCACACCCACTCCCGTCAGTATGGCCTTGTATATAAGTAATATAGTTTTAAATAATATTCTTTTAACAATATGTCTTTTAATCTATATCACACATAAAGTCACATTTAAAAAAAAAAAGTTTAGTAATGATAACAAATTGTATATTACAATAAGTAAAAGTTCTAACACACCTAGGTTTTTGTTTTTTATTTTATATATTTACACTTTTTCTTTTATATATATATATTTATTTTTATTGCTCAAACATATTTACAACTGTTATGAATTGAAAATTATCAAAACAGTAAGCCACATGATATCATGGATTATTCTAGAGTTTCCAATGTATTTTGATAGAATTATTACATTTGGTTAAAATTTAAAACTCAAAATGAAGCAAGATCATGAGTTTTATATGTATGGCCCATATGATAGCATCAAATTTACACATATTTATTTAAGGATTATGCCACATTAAGTGGAATAGTTATGTGAACCGCGTTTTGTGTTCCACAAGTGGGCCACACTTATCTTCATCATGTCATTCATCAACTGTAATATGTTTTTGTACTTTTAATCCACATGAAAGCATTTTGAACAAAAAATAATAATAAATGCAAGAAAGAAGTGTTATTTTAACAAAAATTAAATATTTTATTGACAGTATAAACTTAAATGATAGTTGTTTTCCAAATGAAAATAGAAAATAGAACCATTAATATAAATTTTGACCTATTTTAAGTATTATATACTATACACAACACGTAAATTTATTTTTAAAATAAATTTTAATTTTAAAACAAAATAAAAAAAATAAATAAAGCAATTTACTAAAAAAAGTACATAAATTTGAAAATATTTTTGTGATATAAAAAAATAAAAAAAAGGACATTTAGTGGTGTCACTAGGGGATTGCGGGCTGCACCGAATGAAATCATCACAACCAGAGCTGTGTTTAGAAAATTTGAGGCCTGGAGCAAAACATTTTTGCAAGGCTTTCTTGAAAGTCATCATTTTAGGCGCTTTGACGAAGAAAAACTTTTTATCTTTTTATCTAAAAAGAGTTTGCATAAGTGCAGAACATAAATTTCTGGTTGGTATAATTTTGAGTTGTTATTTTCGTGTAGGTTTATAAAAAGGACTGATTGCTCTATAAAAAAATCTAGAATAATAACAATAAAGTTTTTTCTTAAAGTTTTTAAAGGCCAAGTTATGTAAAATAAGTAATAATTTTTGTCTGATAAGAAATAAATGAATTAGAATAACAAATAAATTTTTGGTTATTATTGAATAATCACTTATAAATTATTTAACATATTTTTACAAAATACTAATCTTATTTGCACATATTATGTTTTCAGCAATCGATATGAAGGGTGTTCATAGATAGGTAGATGTTATATAATAAGTGTTCACACTGTAAAATAATAGACATTAATTTTATAATAGAATAATGGCAAATATTTATAATAAAATAATACAGTGTTATTAATACTGTAAAAACAATTGTCTAAGGTTAAATAATTTTTAAAATTGTTTCAAAAGAATGAAAACTTAGATGTCACAATTTATAGCTTTTCTTGACCCATGGACGAACTTAGTATGCCTTGAAAAGTTTTAAGCGTTAAAAACTCCTTTTGCGCTGGCCACCGTTACAGGTATAATCAGTAAAATTCTATACGTTATAAATGCATTTGGAAATGGTTTTGAATCTGGTGAATAAATCTCAAAATCCTTGCAGCTTTTTCCACTTCAGCCGGTAGAAGTTCTCGAAGAACCTTAAGTTCAGAAAAAAGGTCATTTTCACCAACATTCTCTTTTTCTTCAAAATTAAGGAACGATTCTAGGTTTTTACACCTTTGAAACAATTTATCTTTAGTTACTACTTTTAATTTTTTTACATGATACAAAAATCCAAACATAGTATAGTAATTAATTATTTGTTCAAACCTTCTCCAATAACAAAAAAATACTCCACTTTAAAAATTTGCTCGGCGGATCCTGCCATAAGATCTCCCTCGTATTCAAACATTCTTCTTTTCTTTCTCTGCCTGGGTTCTTTGAAATTTGGCTCTACACCAAGAGTTTCACTAAGTTCTTTTGCTAATAATGTTGCCGCCACAGAGCATAAACCTAAATTTCTGAAAAAAACTGAACTAGCCTTTGAAGTAACTGAAATGCAACTCCAAGGTGCATATTTTGAGTCTGTAGGCTTTTTTGTCATAACTTATTTCTTTCATAACTGATGGTGTTCATAACTATTGGCTCTTTTTTTGAATTCTCAGTAAACTCAACTAGTTCAACTAATGCAGTATGAACTTCCTTAACTTGGTATCGAAGCATTTTTATGCTTTCCAGTTTACTTTTCAAACGAGTGTCACAGGACCTTTTTACAGCCAGATTTAGTACATGTTGAATAAAAATTTGCCATTGCATTTTTGACATAGGAAAAAGTACATAAATTCTTTGCACAACGTCAAAAAGCGTTATAGATTTAGATAATCATTTTGCTGTGTCCCAAATTAGGAAGTTGAGGCTATGGCTAGCGCAGGGCATGTAAAATTGTATTATTATGAATTTGTTACATTAACGACATTTATATATTTTTATGTTACACAGGTGATTATCAGTTCTCAATTTTTTATCTAGAGTTTAGAACATATACAGTATCACATTTATTAGACATTTGTATGGTGCGATTACTTTAGTTATGAATACCATTAATAAACCAGCGGATTTTTATTGACTTGTTTACTCATAGATCATTGTTTTATCAGTTGCTAAAAGATGACTAGAGTGTGAGTTTTGGTTCCTCTCTTCCTGAGTTGCTAACTTTTAATCCTCCTACTAAATAGTCTTTACATTAATTTATGTTTTTTTTACCCAAATGACATCATCTTCAATCTGTTTTTATTTTCACATCTCCCAGGTCTACGTAACCGGACGGCTCTGTTGGTCACTTTTTGTGATCATTGTGTTGCATAAACAAAAAATTTATTCTTTGTAGCTGGTGAGCCCTAACTTTTTCCAATGTACACCACAATGACAAAACAGACATTAGGCTATCCCGCTGGATGTGGTTATGGCACTCAATAACCTAATGACTACGCTGACGCTCACATACACGTTCAGTCGGAAGCTCCACAGTGCACATCGGACCAGCGCTCGCTGACTATGTGCTCGGATCTGAAATCTCACTTCATAGCACATCATTCCACACCAGCACGGGGCAGTAGCTCTTTTGGCTAAGAGTGATGGTTTGTGGCCTATGGTGACTAATGTGTGCATTCGATCAATTGAAATCCATTCTTTAGGTCTTACGTCTGGCTCTGATGTGCTAGCCCATATGCGCAAGAAGTGAGCGTGTTAAGCTTTCTATTCACCCGATTTGAAAGTGAACGGAAACATAACGAGACCATACTAGACAACAAAACGATACGCACTAATGCACTACACCATCACATCTGTAGACATCAACAGTCTTCAAAATCAGTATATCAAATATTTGTTCTTTGTTACATATGATCTACACACAGAGTGACTAGAGTGTTAGTGGGTTCTCCCCCTGCCTCCTGAGCTTTTAACTTCGTTTTTTACCTTCACAAAAGTCTTATCACTCATTTTATATTTTCTTATGATTTTTATTTTCTATTCAATGACACCATCTTCTAACTGTTTTTATTATCACATCTCTCAGGTTTACGAAACTGGACGGCTCCGTTGGTCACTTTTTGCAATA